CGGGATGAATGGTGTCCCTGTTGAAATCTTGGCATTCATCTGGAAAACGGTTCTGCAGGCAGGTGAGCGGTGCCCACCTGCGCTCCCGCTTTGTCACTGTGGCCGGACCGAGATGTGATGGAGAAAAACGACGGCTGCGTCGCTCTGGGGACTCCTGGGCCGCCTGCGGTCGCTTGCGCTCTGCACGTGTGGCCAGACTGACCCGGCCGCGGGTGGGAGGGTTGCCGCTGCTTGAGGCAGGCTGTGGGAGGTGCGTTTTGGTTTGGAGCTGGAGCGTGGGCGATGGGGGTTGGTGGCTCAGCACCTGCTCTGCACGCGGTGGCCCGACGTGCACACGTGCCGTCCCACGGCCTGCTTTCCTCAGGGGCCGGGCCCGAAACGCGTCTTGGGGCGCAGCTCTGCAGGCTTGGCCCGCGGTGTGGGTGGAGGCCGTCTTGTGCTCGGCCCTGCCTCAGGAAGCGGGCCAGGCCGAGGGGGTGGGCGCAAGCGTGCGTGGACTCGTGGCGGTGCACCTTGGCAAGCTGCTTCCACATGGTGTGCAGCAGCGCACGCTCAGGCTGCCATGCGTGATGTGCAAGGCGCATGCTGCTTATGCGGCAGGGCTCGATTCAGCTGTTGGGCGCACTCGCCAAAAACTCGGACTCGCAGCTGTGACAAAATGCAGCATCCACCTGTAAGGTGATGGCCACTTGCTGAGCTACTTGGTGGCCGAGTTCTGGGGCTGCCGCTGGTCGCCACTCCGAGGAAGCGTGCCTGCTGGCAAAAAGCGGAAGGGCCTTCTTGGTGGCTGCCCAGCGATGGAACAGACCCTCGCTTGGCCGGACTGGCAGCGGCGGCATGGTCCGCTTGGCGCTCGGGTGACACTGCCCTCTGTGACGGAGCGTTTCCTTAGCTAATCTCATGGTGAGGCATTACGGCAGCAGCTTCCCAGGTTTGGTACTTAATTTGACTTAGCTGGTGTCGTTTTTTAAAGGTGGCTTTAAATTTGGCTTTTAGATGTTTTCTTGTAGTTCTAATGACGTTTGTTATTGTTACCTTCCTTTTATTGTACTTTATGTGCTGTTGTAAACCTCCTAGCTTGATTCCGCTAATAGAACTGAAATCAGTAATAATAAAAACAAAAGCAACAACAAGAAGGGAGAATACTAAACTGAATATTGCATTTTTATGATATCCTCACAATAACGTTATGAGAGAGGTCAGCACTATTACCATTTTTATTGAGTTTAAAGCATTAATATTTCTCCGTCCTGCCCAGCTAGTCTGAATTTGCAATAAAATTGATTTTAATATATATGCTCCAGAGAACAGGAAAAGCAGTTCTTGTGCTACGGAGATGCTTCTGTGAGCAAAATGCCATCCAGCTACTAGAACGGGAGGTGCCTTCGGGTTCTTAATGCTCACGGTGGGTCTCGGCAAGCACGCTCTCGCTGACCGCCGATCGTGCTGGCATGGGCCCCGACTGCTCACCTTGGCAGCAATTACTGTGCCATTAGCAGCCGTGTCCTTCCAGGGGTGCGAGGCGCTCTATGCCTGTGACCGTTAGGTCCTGTGCATTTCTCACCGAGGACCTGTTGAAATATTCAAGAAGCGGAGGCGAGCGGAATTTGTGTCGCGTCCACGCATGACTGCCCTGTACCACTGGCAAAATCCGAAGTACAAAAGTGACCATGCTTTTGCTCGCTGCTGCTCCCTTTTCGACTGCTCACCGAGGTTGTCTGCAGGTTGCCCCGTCCTCGGAGGTGGTTCTGGAGGGAACCGAGAACAGTTCAGGGCAAAATCCGGTTGTGGAAGGCGTCCCCCTCTCCACGGCTCAGTGTCTGGAGAAGTTTGCCTTGCCATCTCGGGATGCCGGCCATGAAGACGCTTGCTTCCATCCTCGCCCCGTCACCATGTTACGCTGCCCCAGCTTTCATCGAATGACGTGCGAGCTTTTGATTTTTGTGAAACTCTTCATCTAGAGGTTCATAAATTTAATACAGTTCTGAGCCAAAACAATGTACGGAGATATATTTCTTCTTCTCTGTCTGCTACCTTTGCAAAGCTCGCTGCAATAACCCAGTGGATTTGATGGCTTCAGGCAAAAAGTCATTCGTATTCCATTAGTGTACTTGGGCTTTCAGTTCTGTAACTTGAGAAATAGCAGGGAGCAGCCATATTAAAAGCCAGGGCCTCCCTAAAAAAATTGCCTTAATCCTCGGGGAAGAGTGCAATGAAACTGCATCAAGGATATCTTTATATTGCTGGCTGGTTCCATAAAAGAGGTGGTGTGACTAGCAAAATATCGAGGGGAATAGCCAGCCATTACAGGCCAAGGAGGAAAAGTCCTGCCTGCTAACACAGATATAGTGATTAACCAGCCGACGTCGTGCATTTCCATCAAACGATTCTATGTACTTTGAACTGAAATCCCATTCAGTCAGTCAAAGCACGTGCATGGAGGCGACCTGGGCCTCCCCTTCCCTTGAATGCAGAGTTTACCTGGAAAGTCTCACGTGGAAAGGTAGCCATGTCTGGGTGCGTGCGTTCACAGAGCTTCACGTGTGTCCCCTCCCAGCTGCAGTCACAAGGGCCGATCTGCATGCAGCGACTCATTTTTTGTAAGCCATCCCGAGACGCTGGTAGTGGATGGGTTAGGAAAGCTTTTAGCAGCAGCTGCAGCAACAATTGATAAGGTTGTTGGGTGGCTGGAACTGAGTGACAGCAAGTGTGTGTGTGGCCTGGCACATGCTTGTTGCTTTCGGCTAACGACCATTGGTGGTTCTCACATCCAAACCCAGAATCTGGGTTGTTTGGGGGTTGAACAACTCACGGATGACCATGTGTGTTTGCATCCACTTCACATGGACAGTTCCCAGGCACTGCCACTGTGTGAGGACCTACATCAGCATCTCTCGCGTGGGCAGAGCTTTCTCTGGTACTGTGTTTTCCAACGTATTGCTTTTCCATCGGTAACTCCGAACGGATGCCAGTCGCCAGTGCAGCGTGAGCCAAGAACGGCAGCTCCAGCGTAATAGTTTCTGGAGTTTCTGCATGAACAGTTGAGCTTCCCTGAAAGTTTGGCCGTTGGGCTGTGCAGAAACAAAATGGAGAAGGAGGATGCTTCCCGGAGGATTATTCCTAGCAGATATACGAGAACACAGCATTGAATAATATCTGTGCTTCATGCAGCCAGTGCAGCCAATAGATGGTGAACCTGAAGGGCCCCGAGAACGGAGCCGGAGAGGAGCAGGTGGGTGCTGGTCAGCATGTTGGGCCTGTTGCTGCGATTCATGAGCGAGCCAGCCAGCCGTTCTCTGTTGGCACACTTTTCCCCCTTCGAGATAAACAATAGAAGAGCAGGGCCCACTTTTGTATTTGAGCTTTTCAAAATTCGTGTCCAGCTTGTAACATATCCTAAGATTTGAATCCTGTTCCGTGTGTTTTCATTTCCTCCCTCACGTATTTTGGATCAAGTATCGGGCAGCACTGGGGCCAAAAAGTAACTCAGAATACTTTTCTAAAGCCTGGTTTACTAGGTGGGCAGTAATAAATGTCCAGTTAGATTGTGCTGGAGAGCATCAGAAAATTGCCCCATGGAAATGTGCGTGTGAAGATTCTCTGGAAACTGTGCCGCGGGTGCCGTGACTGAGCGTGCGTGACGGAATGTCGGGTGCCCAAACTGCACCGAAAGCTCCTGAGCAGAGATTGGGCAGCGGTAGCCAGCTTTGACCAGGAGGTCACCGTCTGTTGTTCTTCGGCCTGCAAAGAGAGCCGCTGGGGGTTGAAATGTCACGGGTGTAGATGCACGCACGTAAAACCCGCCGCCTTGCTCTTGGCGTGCCTTTAATTTGTGGAAGGGTCACCTTTCCCTCACCTGTGCACTGCCTCTGATATTGAAAAATCATTCGGTGAGCCGATGGATTTAAGGATCCATCGGCAGTTCCAGCACACACTTTGCCAAATTTTTGGCATGCTTTGCGGCCCTCATTGCAGTCCAGTGGTTGTGGGCTGCCTCTTTGTGGTTCAGCCATTCTAGGCTGTGAGAGGCAGGATGGAGCGACAGGTTGGTGCTTTCTGGATGAACATGCGTTGCATTACATTGCGTTTGGATTGATTTTCTCGTGTTTGATAACGATACTGTATTATTGTGCTGGAATAGGGCTTATAGTGGTATATTTTTGTGTTATATTCCTTCTGGAAGGGGGTCTGTAACTAAGCCACTTCAAGACGATGGGAAGCAACGCATAATTTTCATGCGGATCTTGATAAGCACATCGGTAATAATATGGTCCTTACGGTGCTGACTTTGGTCTTGTCTGGTCTGTCCTCCTACAAACTGAGCACTAGCATCGCCACGTCCACTGGTATGTTCAGATTCCAAAGCAGAAGTCCATTTGCTGCCTCTTAGCACCCTCCAAGCACAGCCGGTCTGCTAAAGGAGTCTGAGAATCAGCTTCAGGTGCTGGAAGCGCATGTCTGGTGCCTCCTCGTCCATTGGATCTGGCTTCCTGCGCAAGCAGCCGCAGTTTTCGACGGTCCACCGGTGGACCTCTGCTCCCCCTCAGAACCGAGGCCTGGCAACCTGTGCCCTCCAGAAGTTTTGTCCTGCAGCTCCTGGCATCTAGGACTACTCGCTGCGGTGGGCAAGGCTGAAGGGAGCTGGCATCCAAAGCATCTGGCAGGCACCAAGTGCCCATCTCCACACCGGGCGTTCTCCTCTGCCTCCCTTTGCCCCCCGAGGGAACGTACGTGCGCTGCACTTGGGGGGACCCAACCCACTATATTGCCAGTACCTTTCCTGGCCTCCTCTCGGATAAATGAATGCCGAGCAAACATTTCATTTCCTAATGCCCCCTATTTGCCGCAAAGGCATAATAGCCTGCTGCTTTCTTAACCCATCTGCTCTTCAATAGGTTTGCCAATTAGGTTACCTGGCTATTCTTCGTGCTCTCGATTTAATCATTGCTGAGCTGTAGGGGGAATTACTAACCTGATTTTCCTCTCTTTCCCTTTTGAAGCCGTGTGATTAAGACGGACATGGAGTTGGAAGTCCTCCGCTACACCAATAAAATCTCTAGTGAAGCTCATAAAGAGGTAATGGATCTCTTACAGATAATAATTTTTTTGCTCTTTGTGTAACAGTAGTTTTTCAAAAAAATGTTCGCCGCTATCAGAATTGCTTAGTAATAAAGTAATGGAGGAGCTGGAATGGAATTAGGAAGATAATGTTCCTCTTAATAGAATCCTGTCCTGCACCTTGCATCGCCCTTGAACTTGCTCTTGATGCGTGGGGAGCGGCGTGGGCCTGAAACACTCCGAGAAGGAAGGCCCCTTGGAGAGTGGAGGTATCCCGCGCAGCAGGAGTGCTCCGGCTTGCCTTCCTCTCCCTCCCGGTGTTTCCCCACAGCCCACACCGGTTTCTGGAGACACACCCTTGGAGGACCCCTTCCTGTGGAAGGATGAGCTCGCTGGAGGCGTGGGCCAAGCGCCCGGGTACCGCAGGCATAAGCGCGCCTTCCCCAGCGCAGCCATCGCGGCCGAACGGGCTGTTTCCCACACACCCATCACAGTCGGGGGTGCCCCAGGCAGGAGCTGCTGGGTCAGTGCCTGCTCTGGGCAATCAGCGCTCAGTCGGCCGCATTTGCCAGACGTGCAGATGGGGGCACTTTGTGTTGGCTTTAGGCTTAGTAGCCCTAAGTGAATTCTCAGGTTAACTTTGGGTAATTTGACCCACAAGCAACCCGCCTGTCTGTTTTTGCCTGTCACTCAACAACCCGTGGCCATATGCGGAGCGGAAGCAGCCTGTGTGAATCAAACCCTTGGTTAATCCATAATTTCTGCGGATATATGCAAACAGGCTCAGCCAATTCAGAAACGTGGCCCAAGGACCTCGCCTTGAAGCTGCTCTCGCGAGCCGCTCTGGGCTGGCTGTCAGCGCACAAGCAGGTTAAGAAGGGCAGTCAAGCCCTGTGTGGGCCGGACGTGGGTCATTACCCTCGCCCAGAGAAACTGACTTGAACCCGGGGAGGGGGGGCAGCCGGTGCGGGTCACAGGCCAGCCCAGAGCCCTCCCCAGCTGAGTTTCTTGCCAACCACTCCAGCTCCCCAGATTTGAACATCACGGCCAGCTGCGCTAGGCAGAGGGGATCGTGCAAGTGCCCCCCCCCCCCGGTGCCAGGTGGTGGTTTATTAAAACCCCCCTCCTACATTTGTGGGAGCCGGCTTAGTATGACAGTCTTGGCTTTGAAGGCTCCCCTGCGCTCCAGGTAAGCGGTGCCTTAATGCGCAGCATGCGGCCGTTCCCGCTTCTCTTCCCTGTGCTTGTTCCGCACCTTCTCGGAGCTGTGGGGGCTTCAGTCACTTGGCGCCCACTCCTTCCCTACACGCCCTCACGCCCCCTAAGCTCTTCGAGGGAGGCCCTGCTCCGGGAACCCTCCCCGACGGAGGTGAAAAGGGCATCTACTCGGAGTAGGGCCTTCTCTGCGGTGGTGCCCAGATTATGGAATGCGCTTCCTGGCAAGGTTCACCTGGCACTGAGCTTATACAGTGGCACCTTGGCTCACGAACTTGCTCCGTTCCAGGACTCTGGTTGTGACCCAAACTGGTCGTGAGCCAAGTCAAATTTCCCTATTAGGGTCGATGTAAATGAGGTTAATCCGTTCTGTAACCATTTTTTAAATGAGAAAAATGTGAAGCAAAGTGACAAAGAGCAACGAAGATCGTGGCCACCCCCCCCCCCGGCCCCAGCACGATCACGGCCATCCCCCCCCGGGGGGGGGGGGGGGCTGGGGGCTGGGCAGACGGCCGTGATCGCGGTCCACACCCAATGCATAGTTCGTGACCTGAGTCCAATTTTTCTTTGAAATTTTTGTTCGTGACCCGATTTGGTTGTGAACTGAGGCATTCGTGAGCCGAGGTACCACGGTACTCTTTTCAGCGCCAGGTCAAAACCTTTTTATTCAACCATTATTTTAAAAATTAGTATTTTAATGCTACAGTTGTGTTTTATATGTTATCTATTGTTAGATTGTTTTTAAGGCATTTGATTTTATTGATTGTGGGCTGACCTGAGATGCCCCGCATATGGGACGGCATATAAAAGTTTTGATAGATAGATAGATAGATAGATAGATAGATATTTGATATTTTCCCCTGTAGAAACTGCCCCCAGCAGTGAGAGTCGGGCATTTGGGACTCTGGGACCGCTGGTCTTATTCTGGGGATGCCTTAAGACGGCCTGTAAGTTCCTTTCGCTGTGATGAGCACAGCTAACACTTCTGTTTGCTCAGCTGCCGCCGCTCCAGGCTTTCCGATGGCTTCTGCACTCCTGATAGGCTTGAAGGAAGCTGTTAAAGACAAACAGCTTCTGAGCATGTGCAGTTTTGTGCTGAACATCCACTTAAATCAACAGGAGCGTGTGAAAAACAGGCTTCCTGAACCTACTCTGAGTAAGGGAAAAGGCGTACAGTAGATGTGACTGCCTGTGACAAGGGCTGCACACGCCAGTTGCTGAGGGGCTTGGGCAGGAGGGGGTCTTGCACCCATCCTGCTGGAGGGATCGGGGGGCAGCTGCTTCGCCCCTGGGCGCCTGGGTGGACCATTGGCCCGACCCCGCACGGCTGTGAGAGTGAAGTGTGGAGGAGGCCCGTGCTGCGATTCCTGCCCAGCTCTGCTGTAGTGAGAACATCTGCAGGGGACTTCTGCAGGTATACAGGCGGGCATACCTGGACGGTCCATATGACTGGGAACCCTGCACGATTGAGAAACCTGCCTTCAGGTCAATGCAAGAGCGAGTCCCTTTCCAGGTCTACTGTGTGAAGAATTCCCAAATTGCTTAGGGTGTTTCATGTTTGTGACCACAGGTGATGAAGGCTATCAGACCCGGCATGAAGGAATACGAGCTGGAAAGGTAGGTGCCCTCCCTCTTTCTCTCTGCCCCTTTCTCTCTCTCTTTCTCCTCCTCGCCTTCTTTCTTTCTCGCTTTCTCATTTATGGCAAAACTATGGGTAAGCATTTCTTGGTTGACAGGAAATGCCACCAATGGGGGCAAATGCCGTTGATTTAATGGCAATTACCTGAGCTCATTTGGAGCTGGTGTTGGGCATCGTACTTTATGATACTGAAGGTGTTTCATCAGTTTCCTTCGTGTTATTGGATGACAATTGCTTTTAGGTATAGTTTTAGAGCCCTATAATTCCTTTTGCAGACTTTTATGTAATTTACAGAAACGATACCTAATAGCCATTATTACTGCTCCGCAGCACCCAGTAAAGCAGCTTTTATGGGTGTGAATATCATGGTTATGCCTGTTGCACCACAAGTATTTATGGGGGCCATAAAATGGCCTGGAGCGCTCAGTCGATCCCTGCAGCTGTGGAGCGAGCGCGGCCGCCTCTGCTGGTGCATCCTGATCTCTGCTAGCTGTGTTGGCTCCCGGCGGAGCTGCGACTTGCTCCACCCTCGCGTACCTGCCCCGCTTTGCCTCTTTGAGAGGAGCACCTGGAGATTCTCCCCAGCTGGTGCTGCGCTCTGCCCATGTTCTGTGCTGGAAGGGTTAAATCTGTTTTGTGCAAAATTGGTATGCATGTGTGTATGAATGAGACAGTTACTTTGAAGAACAAACTTCACTGTTTTGTGTGTCTGAATCCCATTAAAAAAGTCTTCCTGTCTGTGGGAGAATGAAGGTGGGTGCCCCTTTGCTGTCAGCATCTCAGCTTTATTAATTCTTATTAAAAACAATTAGCAGAGTTGTGCTATTTGGCCAACCAGGTGGGTTGTTTTAGTCTTTTGGGAGGTTTTGAAGTAATTAAATCTATCCCAGCCTTCCCCAGACACATTTGGACTGCAACACCCAGAATTCCCAGTCAATGGCCCTACTGGGTGGGAATTCTGGGAGTTGCAGTTCAAATGGCTCTGAAGGCCCCCAGGTTGGAGAAGGGTGTTCTAACTAGTTAGTAGATTAAAGCAAACCCTGAACCTCGGGATGGGGATCCAAATCCAGGCCACCTGGGGACCTCAGGTGCCTACCCTGGCTCCTTGTAACTCCCACCCTAACCCCTCGTACACTCTGGGATTAAAAGGTTGCAGTACTGTTAGGAACCAGCTATGCTTACCGAAGATCTAGGAAACAGAAGGGAGACTTGGCTGTTGGCCACTTGCTCTTGGGAGACATGAAGAAAACCAGACCTGGGTTCCTTGCAACAAAAATTTGGGCATGTGGTGCTGAGCCCAGCGGCTCTTCCAGCTCGTCTTGAGAAGCTGTTGCTCCACACCCCTGATCCTGCAAAGGATAGGGCCCCTCTCCACACAAGGATGCTCCCCAGCAGAAGCCTGTTCTCCCTGCAGAGGAGGGCAGGACGCACTCCGACAGAGCCAAGCGCAGGGAGCCAAGGTTCCATTTGGATGCCAGGAAGCACTTCCTGATGGTCGGGACCCCGAGGGTGTGGAATGGGCTTCCACGGGAGGTGGTTGAGGCCCCATCGGTGCGGGTGTTCAAGGATAGGCTGGACGTCCACATGGTGGGCATGTCGTGAGCGGAGCCGGCTGGAGCCGGGGGTCAGACTAGATGGCCTGGGAGACCCCTCCTGACTCGCTCTGTTTCTGTGTTCTTAAGCGGTTCACACGTCTAAGAGCGTAAGAGCTGCACTGGACTGGACCAAAGGCCTCCTTCGCTTGCCATCTTGTTCCCCGTGGCCAACCTGTGGGGAAGAAGCCCATGAGTAGAATGTATGTAATGGTACCGTCTCACTGATGTTCCCCATTCATGGCTGTGCAGAAGTGCCCTGTTTCAGAAAGCAGAGGTAATACAAGGCCATCCAGACTAGTAAGGACTGGGCATTTTCTCCTCCTGAAATTTCCCCAATCCCCTTTCCAACCAGTCCCAAGTAGCATCTTGTGGAGCAGAACTCTGTAGTGGGCAGAACTTTTATTTGTTCTGAATCTCCCACAATTCAGCTGCATCGGGTGACCCTGGATTCCACTCGTACATGAATATTACATAACCACTTCTACCACGCCATGCATAATTTTATATATTCCAATCAAGTCTCCTCTATTTTTTTTCCTAATCTAATGAGCCTCAGCTGTTGTAACCTTTCTTCATAAGGGTGTTGCTCTTTTGGAGCCGGTGTGTTTTAAAAGTCCCAAATGGTTTTCTCCAAGAAAAAGTGCTGAAAACTATTACAGTGTTTTCCCTTCCTTGTCACGGGGTGTGGAAAGCCGCATGTCTAAAGTTCTTGCAGCAAAACTGCAAACCTTTCTGAAGGTCAATGCACGAGGACGGGGGCGGTGCTGGTCCGTTGTCCTTACTTGTTTCTGATCATGAAAGGTGGCTTTCTGCAAAGGAGAAAACTGGGGAAGAAGTTTCTTGGCGAAAACCGCAGACTTTCTGCAGTCTGTATCCAAGACGACTCTTCCTATCATTGAAAACCTGATCTGCTTTTCCGCCAGACTGTCCTTCTGACCCCATCGCTTGATTATTCTCCCAGTTCATGGTCCACAGAGGCTCCGAGACAGTAATTTAGGTGAAAACATTTCGGGGGCGGGGGGGACGACAACAGGGGGTTGAGGTGCGAGGCTTGGGTTTGATTTGCCCCCACATCTTTTGAAAGCCTGTGGTTTGGGTTGTGAGAGGGGGTGGAGGGACACACATTCCTTTCTCCCTTCTGTTCGTGGGTGTGCTTGGAATGTAAACAAACAAGACCCCGTATATATACCTGCATGCACTAAAAGTGCACATCTGAGGAAGGTGTTCAGGAGGAAGGCTCAGCTGGGCCTACTGCAACCAGGTGCACTGCAAGGTTTCTGCAGGCAGGTGCTGGGGCACCTGCAAAGCAGCATTCTGATCCCAAATCCCCCACCGGTGCACCCCAGGCATCCAGGTCGGAGAAGGCCTCCTGCCTGGGCCTGGTCCCGCTCCCCGCCATCCCTCTATCGCCTTTGGAGGCGCCCCCGCCCCCCACGTCGCCCTTGATCCCTGCGTCATGCGACAGGACGCATCAAGGTGAGCACGGGAGAGCGCACCAGGGCATCAACTGGGCGTCCCCTTCTGGTCCTTTCACGGCCCCCTGAGGTGTGCAGAAGGAAGGTGGAGCGCTGGGGGGCTGACAGGTGTGGGGTATTTGTTCTTCGGACCTCTCTGTTGGCTCAAGAAATGAACTGACTCGTTCCCACTTTTCGGAGAGGGTTTCTTTTCCTGATTGTCTGCAGGGAGCCTGGGAGAATGCAGCCATACATATCCAGGGTGCAGCAGCCCACCCAAATCCTCCAAGGCGCTCATCCTGTTGACTGCAGACCCGGGAAACACAATTGGACAGGACTGGCAATATTCTGTGCCGTTAAGCTGCCATAAATAACACCAGATCAATGGAGTGGGAGAATATTATAAAGCTTAACCGTGTGTACATATAGCCCTCCTTCACTTGACTGCTTTTTTGTTTTAAATCCAACTTTAATGAAGGGTTTGTTTGACTTTCAAGTGGTGGCAAGCTGTAAAACCGTTTTCAGGGTACCACTGATCCTGAGCTGATCTCTGCTGCAAATTTGGCCATTGGGTAAGAGGGGCAGCGACCCCATAACACCAGTCCCAAGACAGCAAACGTTTATGGTAGGGGGCGGACGGGCCGAGGCACCCTCAGGTGAACAGGGGGAGCGGTTGGTGTTTGCTGCAGGCACCCTTGGAACCTTTTAAGTGGCACTTAGCTCAGGGACGGATGGCAAATTGATAGAGGTGGTAGGTCACACCACAATTGTGTGTGCAGAGCACACAAGCTTAGCTTGTGGGTCAGAAAACCCTTGCGGGGCTCTGGAGTTGTGATGCCCCGGCACTGTGAAACACCCGCACTGTGTTTGCCCCCTTTCTGCTTCACGTCCTCTTTCTGGCCGCTGAAAATTAAGGGCGATATTCCGAGTGCGTGTATGTTGCTACATTTGGGACCTTTGCCACAACCCCTTTTTTCCAGGCAAGCATTTCCACTTCGGGACAGAATTCCAACCGCTGTTTCAACAACATTGCTCGTTTGATTTTGCATTGGGATTTATGGCCTGCTGCTCCAGTATCTCTTGATGCCCTGTGTTTCATAAATCTTACAATAAGTCTGTGACAATAGGCCGGCATGCCACCAAATGCCTCAGAGAAGGGCTCCCTGCCAAGCACACGAATAACTCCGCCTCCCGAGTGGACCCCTTGGAGACTGGCCTCACCCACCCCTCCCTGGTGTCTCCTGGCCCAGCTTGCTCCACTGGCTAATGGGCCAGCCCTGCGTGAGAGATCCCATTAGGCGTCACTTCCCCTTGAACTTTCCTCTCCCACCTGGTGCTAGGAAATCCTCTCTAGTTAACTGCCTGCTAAAAACCATCCGACATACCGGCTTTCGTCTGGATTCAGGGCAAGTCTCCGTCCCAGCCTCCTCAAAATCAATCGCATACGTGGGATAAAGGAAATTGGGAACCACGCGGGCTCAGCGACGGCTTGTTTAGAGTGGCAATGAAGTTAAGTCTGAACTCGGCTGACACCAGTCGGCCGTGGCACTTTGTGCTGGTTTCCTTCGTCGCCCCCACCCTCTGCCCAGATCGCATCTTCAGAGGTCAGATTCGGGCCTTTTGTCGTTCTTTCATTTCTGCATGGGGCTTAGGCAGTCGGATGAGCTGCCGCCACTTATCCGGCAGGGTTGTGTTCCCGTATCGGTGGAGCTATCCTCCGGATTTTGAGCTTGCACCTTTCCTTTATCCCCCCTTTTCAAGGGAACAGAAAGAAAATGAAGATTGCGAATGACCCAAGAGGGAACGACACACCCATTTTTCTACCTCTGATGATTTTCCTGTCTTGTAGAAAGTATTGCTTTTTAAGTTATTCAAATATTTATTTCCCCTGGTTTCCGTTAGCGGGCAAATATTTCATTTTCAGGACAG